ATATTAAACTTTTTATGTTACAAAAAATTAAATCAATTTATAATGTACTAATCATTTTTAGTTATACTAAACAAATATGTTTGGGCGTTAACTTAAATATACACTTATATGCCAAACAAAACGTAATTAAATTAATTGTACACTTCAAATCATAAGTATTTATCAAGAAGTTGCTATTAGTAAAAATCTAAAATATTTTAATTAAGTTTCGGAATTAGTTACTATATAATTTTCTATTTTAAATATTAATTACATTTATTAATTTTTACCCACAATTCTGTCTGGCTATAATATAACAATGTAAAATATATGACAATTCTAATGAAACTCAATTCATATATGAATAATGTGTTTTATAAGATCGCTCGGCCCCCCTCGCCTTTAAAATCATTTTTACTTGAATATTTAAATATAATTTAGATTAATGTTTTAATATTTAATATAAAGATATTTATGAATAATAGTGTACAGAGCAATATATCAGGGCTGGAATATTTTAAGATTAATATAACTCTATTTGCAAAAAAAAAGTTTACTAAAAACATATAAATTAATTTATATATTTATATGTAAAGTATTACCGTATTACCCCGCTCATAGGTGCATGCAATTATAAGTTAATTACACAGATTTTGCATGTCACCAAAACTACCGCACCTATATCCGGATATAAGTGCACCACTTGTGTAAAAATTACATATAAGTGCATTAATATTTATTTATCAAAATTATTTAATAAATTAATGGATAGATGATTCATTATTTAATAATTTAATGTAAATCTTTATTTTAAGTTCTTTCTTTGTTTTGTCACACTTTGATCACTGATTTCTTCATTTATATCCATTTATTTACTGATTATTTGAATTAATTCATTAGTGATGAATCATCACTTGAAGACATGTTCATTATATGAGATATTTTACATTAATGTACTCAATGAGTACTACTTATTATTCATGAAACTCATAAATAAATAAGAAAATACATATTGATTTTAACATTTAAAGTAACATTTTAGAATTCAAAGTTTAATAATAAGTCATTTGACTTTCATCTCAAGGTACAATGTAAATGTATATGTAAATTTCAATTGAAAGTCAAAAATGTGCCAAAAACCACCGTACCTATATCCGGATATAAGTGCACCTTTTGTGTGAAAACTCACATATAAGTGCATGCACCTATAAGCGGGGTAATACGGTAATAGTATATTAATATAAAGTCTTTACATTATAATCTTACTGAATTAATAAAGTTTTCATTATAACTACAATCCAGCAAACGTAATACAAAAGTAATTTACTATATTTTGATTATTTATGTTATTTATTTAGTGGTATAAATTTGCGAATACTATACGCCCTTATGATATGCATAAGTTAAAATTCAAATGAATTATAAAGTATTAAATAAATTTAATATATTATTGATTTTATTAAACAATTAACAAATTGTTATAAAAAATAATTGAAAGTTAAAATTAACAACAATACAATTAATTGTCTATTTATTTCAATTTGTGTGGAGCAATAAAATGTAGGCATATATATTTATTCAGGCCATAAAATAGTTGCGTTAATCGCAAGTGTTTCCAGTACAAAGTTTGTGGCGAGTCAAAAGTGGTTTGGGAACCGCTGCGCGTCTGTATCTATTGTTGTGTTCGTACAGTTGAGCGTTAGTTCCGCCCAAAGAGATAGCAAGCGGTACGGCGTTAACAGTGGAATCGCCTTCCGGTGCGATACTGAAAGCCATCACTAATACGCACAGCATTATGAACATCATGGTTATGGTTTGACGCTATTCATGAGTTAATAAATATGAATTAATATTACATAATGTTAACCACTTTTATTACTCTACCGTATTTAAGGCTGTAGTTTTTGTATGTGAGTTGTGTTAATAAATGGCGACTATGTAATCACTTATGGTTTTGTTTCATTACATTAATTATATAATAAATTATTTTCGTATGAGAATGAGTCAATAATTTCTAATACAATGCCACCTCTTTTTGAGCAACTTATCTTTGGGGGATACCTCTATATAAGAAACTAAATTGAAATATTTGTAGGATTTTTTACACTTATAATATAATGTAAAGTAACTTCCCATGTAGAAACCCTCTATTAAGAAACATTTTTGCTCTTCAAAAGGTCGTTCTGTATAAACAGATTGCATTGTATTACAAAAGTATGTATTTTTTAATTTAAAATATCTAATACATTAATACAAAATGTAAATGTAAGATATAATTGTATGTCATTTTAAATAAATTTATCTTATTTTATCATTATTGTTTGTATGTTTGAAATGTATTGTGGTTTTTAACAACATATTTTTAACTTATTTATAAACTTGATGTTTTCATTTGGGTCTATTTTCAAACTGATATAATTTTAAATATAATTTTGATAAAATTAAATCTATGTTATAATTAGGGCTGTAATTTGTGTTTTTATTATATATTGTAGGATAAGTCATTTATGTGTTTCATATTAAAAACAACACACTATTAATGTATTGACACATTGATAAACTTGCAAATATACTTTAATATATATATTTTTCCACCAAAGTTTCACCTTTTTTACAGCCCTAGTTATAATTATATTGTGATGTATATTTAATTCTCTCTCTCTCTCTCTCTCTTTTGAATGACAGCCAGTCTACTGATGGTAAACAACATTTCTTAGATCTCTCTCTCCCTCCCTCTCTCTCTCTCTCTCTCTCTCTCTGATGCCCACAAACCTCACCTGGTGCTGACAAATGTAAATGAAATTAACATTATAAAGTTAGTTATTTATTCAATATTTATTTGTTATTACAAACTTAATACAGTATAACTTATTTATAATTAAAACACAGATGTTTCCAAATGAAATCATTATTTACTTACTGTATGTAATGTAAAATATCTAAAACAAATATGACAAAAATATTTTGTATTTTGCTGTTGACTACAGGTATTTATATTTTATTCATAAATTATTCTTAATTGTATAAAATATATTTGTTTTTTCAAATATTGTATCATTATATATAAATATTGTTAACAAAAATCTAATCAATTAATCAGCGAGTAGAATGACCACATACACCGAAGTGGAATTCTAAACAATACTGCGCCCACTCACTGGGTTTGGTGACAAAGAGCACCCAATGGTCAACAAAGCGGAACATTTCAAAGATGGCTGCAAACAGTAATATCTTATTAAATTAAACAAGTTAATTTAACAAATAAAATACAATAATTACCTAAACAAACACACCTACTGGTTAATATCAGCGGCGCCACATCTAGTAAAACACTTACAACAATACGACCAAGGTCATCTATCAAAGCAATTTATACAATATTTTAGCAAAGATCTAAATGGTGGCTGGGTCGGTTTGTGTAAACAAACAGCTACCGCATCCGTATCCGTATATTTACCCCATCATAAAAAGATACTCGACATGAATCATGAGTTAGTGCCGGTTAAAGATGGCCTAATACGGGCACCAATGGCCGCATCACAACCGAGCACTCAGTATAAGATTGACGATATATTATGGTAAAGTATTATTAAATATTACACTTTAAAATTATAATATAAATAACTTAATCATTAAAATAATTATAATTTTAATTATTTAAAATTATAATTAATGGAAAATAAATATTATGTATATTTGTCTAATCTATCATGTTTAGTTTTATAAATAAATGGATGAAAACCACCAGGGACCTTTTACCAGGCGATGCGCCGCGAACGATATTCAAGATAGGCATGGTCACTATTGCTAATTATGTGACCAATTGTGGCCATATAGCGGACACGCAATGCGAGTGGACATCACTGCCCGCACCCACACAACCATACGTTCAATCACTGCAACTATTGATTGTTAAAGCGTTGGCCAACATTGACTCTATTAATAGCAAGGGTTAATAATTCATACATTGTACTAGATATTTATTTTGAAAACTTGTTTACAATGTTAATGTTTATAAAAATAATTTAATTCAAATTTAATTAAGTTTTTAAATAAAATCAATTTAATAAATTATATTTTTATTTTATATTAAATAGTAAACATGTCATTGTTTATTCACTAATGTGAACCAATATTAAACCAAAATGGTCTAATTAAAACAAATATTATTTTTGAATTTAAAAATAATTTATTAATTGTAAAAACAGTTAATTTGAATGAATTAAATTTTTTTAAATATAACAATGTTACCCACGAAGGCCAAACGACCGGCACCATTTATTACGCAAAAGCACTAAGTACTGATACTCAACCGGTAAAGTATCTGCACCATTTTTAATCACGCTTATTTGATGATCGATAGCCTGCCTAATCCTATCTCCAAAATCATCAAGCCACCCACCGATACACAATTTCACCCTGGATTCATTATTCTCTGTGATAGCCTTAAAAGTCTGGGCCATAATGTTTATCTACTTAGTTATGGCCACTTTAAAACCGGGTAAATGATGCCCGGAGTCGGCCCCGGGAGTACCAGTAAGCGTATGGCGTAGAAACTTGGCCATTTTTATCACAGCGATCCGTCTATCGTTTACCCAATCATTGTACGCCTGCTCAGCATCGGAGTGATCTGGCACAGTTTCCAGATTGTTTATGACCATGTAGCCTAGTTTGGCGCTGAACAGGTCAAGGAAATCGGCCAGGTCAGTTCGGCCGGCGTACGCAAAATTATCAGGTTCGCTGACCACCTGCCAGTAGGCCTGTGCCAGGTTTATGGCGCATATATTCCAGTCATCAGCGAAGGGGCCGGCCATCGCCGCATCTAGACCTTGTGCCTTGAAACAATCAACCAAGTTCACTATTATATCTATGTGGTTATAATTTGTAATTACCATAGTGAATTACTATGTTGAATTAATTTTAATAACACTGTATATTTGATTAACTTACTAGAATCTTTTTCTTTACAATGGCACTTGGCCAAAAATATGATGAATACTATTATTTTAACAATATGAAACATGGTTAGTTCTAAGTAGTTTGCTTGTATTGATCATTGCATTATGTGAACTTGCCTTATTTATTGAATTGCAACCTAGTATTTTTATAAATGAAACTGTGGTTTTATAATGAAAAATTGTAGTTACGTTTAATTGTTTATTTAATTAATGTTATATGACATTATCATTAAATTTAGTAATGCCATATTTGATTGTTAGAAATCAAATAGTGACAATGTAAATTCACTTATACAGATTGTTTAGAAATCTACTGTAGAAACAATAAGACCCATTTTTATATTCACTTAATTTGGTTTGCTTGTAAATAATTTTTGGAAATTAGTAAGATTTTTTAGTTAGATTATATTGTCTAAATATAAAATTAATAAAATACCATTATCAAAATCCAAAAATATGTATTTACGATAGCCTATTGTCAATATCAATAATAATTATAACTATAAGTTTTACTAATCTAATTTATATTTCCGTGTAACTCATTTTAATTTATGATTTATCTGTAACTATCAATAAAATATTGTTTGATATTTAAATCTGGGTAAACTGTCATTTATTTATTATTAAACATTAGTTTATAATACCTTATAAATAATTTATCAAGCATCGTGATTATTTATTAATAATTTATTTAAAACCACTTGCATGTAATCAATTTAATACATTTATTTAGAATAAATAAATTTTTATATTGTAACATTTTACAGTATACCGGATAAAATCTAATAATAAAATTTTTATTAACTAGATTTTAATAGTTAACAAGCAAACATTTCTGTATGTAAATATAATTTAAAAAAGCAAATAGCATGTGGTAGAACTCAGATTAAACAAACATTTAAATGTGATTTACTAATTTTCAACGAAAAACATCATTACAATAGTAACTATACAATTTTAAGATAGTATATAAGTATCATTAAATAAATATAAAATAATATAATCTAAACTTATAATTTAAAACAAGTTTATTTTATAACAAATAAAACACCATGTTTAAAATTGCTAACTTATTAGTTCTTGCTTTATTTATTGCAACGGGTCAGTGTTACGTGGCTAATTCAAGTAAGTAATTATTAAAATAAACTTACCTATACCAAGTTAATATGCTAATTTTATTTTACAAAACTTTATATTGTATAATTTCACCCTTGGTTTGATAGTAATGAATCTAGCTGATTGTTTCAAACAAAATGGCCTAGATGCGGCCCTGGCCGGGCCATTTGCCGACGACTGGCAGGTGTGCGCCGAAAATCTTGGTGAAGCCTACACCCAAGCGATTACCGAGCCTGATAATTTTGCCTACGCCGCGCGCACCGATCTAGCTGATTTTCTCGACCTGTTGGGCGCCAAGCTAGGCTATCTAATCATGAACAATCTGGAAACTGTGCCAGATCATTCCGACGCCGAGCAGGCGTACAACGATTGGGTAAACGATAGACGGGTTGCCGTAATAGAAATGGCCAAGTTCATTAGAAAAACGGTTACCGGCACTCCCGGTGCCGACTCCGGGCACCATTTGGATGGCTTAAAAGTGGCCATAACTAAGTCAATGAACATTATGGCCCAGACCTTTAGAGCTATTACCGAGAATAATGAGCCCCGGGTGCAATTGTGCATCGGTAATTGGCTAGATGATTTTTCAAACAAAATCAAACAGGCCATTGATGCGCAAATCGCCGTGCGCAAAAATGGTGCCGATACTTTACCAGATGAGTATAAGTACCTTGATGCATTGTGCGCTGAATGGTCCAAGGTGTTTGGCCCAAATGCCTAAAATTTGCATTTAAATAGTAAACGATATTTATTCAAAATATTTTATCCATAAAATTTGTGTTTTATCTTTATAACAGGCAATTATTTATTTATTTTTATTTTGTATAATTTCTTATGAAATTTTATATTGAAATGAAATTTTACTAATTATAATTTAAAAATATTTTTAATTTTTGTTATTAAGTACAATTAAATTTTAAATGTCAAAATTTATTTTGATTAATATAATATATCGTTTAATAAAACACTTGGTTAAAATATTATTTAATATTTTATTTATATAACCTAATTACATTTTTGTTTCATTTGTTTACTTAACCATGCACTAAATTAAATTAACCATGTAATTTATATATGCATAATATTATATGTTATACATAGTGTTCAAAGAGTCTCCAGGAATTGAAGTCATATTATTTATTGTATTTTTATTAACATTAATAACCAGGGTAAATAAAGCGGAATTTTTATTATGTATAACATTATGCTTAAAAATTAATTGAATAAAAGTACAAGTGAAAAATTTCTTGACACTTGTACAGAGTGCGCAAAACATTTGGCCACAAACTTGACTGAACATAATTATATTACCACCAAACCATAAACTAAAAATGCTCGCCACCAAACATAAATACTCTTCAAAATACATTTTGTCGCGTACTTCATAAATGATAGACGACTGAACATGGTCCTCAAATATAATATAAAACAATCCGGTATAGTAAGGTAAAATATAATCTTCTTTTTGAATATAATTCACAGTATAATAATAGCGAGAACAAAATATCTGTAAATCACATTGTCGTTTACAAATGTTGCCATATTTATTGACCACGGTGTAATTTCCAAAATATATATTACTCCTAAGTAAATCGTATGTTAAATAATAACTAACATGGTAATTAGTAGTCGACAACATTTTGTCAATAATACACTCCGTAAGACACTGACGATGAGTCGTACCTTTACGGTTACATTTATCGGGGGAATTAACCCTGGCCATATTTCTGACAACAATCTCTCTGTATTTAACGGACGCAAATTTGAACCTGTTCAAATTTAAAAACACCGAGCCACTACGGTAAGGTAAATAGATACGTTCGCCGCGAGCGTGTATAGTAATTGTGGCTATGTTTTTAATTAAATGTGTATGGTTATTTAATGAAATATCAATCGCATTTTGGTGACCTTTATTCATTTTATTACTTTTACTTAATATGTATTTATTATCTGATTCATTGCCCCATTGGCTAAATATAGTGATACACAGCATATCTGTATTCATTGACACCCTGTACTTGGATAGTTCAAAGCATAAATATCTTTTATCACGTTGATTATTAATATAGCAAGTGATTATTTCTTCAGGGTTCATTATATTTTTGTACTGTTCCTGTACATTTAGCTTATTAAATTGTTCGAGATTTGTGTAATTGTTATATTCACCACGTTTTAAGATAGTATTTTTTGGGAAACATATAGTAATCGCTGGCAATTGAAACTCAGTCTCCGAGCCGTATATAACATTAGTAGTGGTTTCGTATGAAAAGTATAATAAACTTATTTTATACGTTTGATNGCCGACGACTGGCAGGTGTGCGCCGAAAATCTTGGTGAAGCCTACACCCAAGCGATTACCGAGCCTGATAATTTTGCCTACGCCGCGCGCACCGATCTAGCTGATTTTCTCGACCTGTTGGGCGCCAAGCTAGGCTATCTAATCATGAACAATCTGGAAACTGTGCCAGATCATTCCGACGCCGAGCAGGCGTACAACGATTGGGTAAACGATAGACGGGTTGCCGTAATAGAAATGGCCAAGTTCATTAGAAAAACGGTTACCGGCACTCCCGGTGCCGACTCCGGGCACCATTTGGATGGCTTAAAAGTGGCCATAACTAAGTCAATGAACATTATGGCCCAGACCTTTAGAGCTATTACCGAGAATAATGAGCCCCGGGTGCAATTGTGCATCGGTAATTGGCTAGATGATTTTTCAAGCAAAATCAAACAGGCCATTGATGCGCAAATCGCCGTGCGCAAAAATGGTGCCGATACTTTACCAGATGAGTATAAGTACCTTGATGCTTTGTGCGCTGAATGGTCCAAGATGTTTGGCCCAGATGCCTAAAATTTCCATTTAAATACTAAACAATGTTTATTCAAAATGATTAAAAAATATTTGTTTTATTTTTATAATAGACAATTATATAATTTTGTTATTTTGTATGCTTTTTCATGAAATTTTATATAATTTAAAATTTTTTATTTATTTTATTAAATATGATTGCATTCTAATTGTCAAAATTTATTCTGATTAATATAATATAATGGATCATTGAATAAAATACTTGTCTAAAATATTAATTAATATTTTATTTATATTATAAAGTTATAGATAAAATTGTTAGATTTAATTACTATAAATAAATCTACAATTTAATTAATAAACATTTTTTTATAGATAATTAAATTAAATATTAAGTATTAGGTATGATGTTAAGATAAAAATAATTTACCAATGATTTTAATTTTAATTTATTTATTATTTAGTTGATTTAATTGTATTTTTATTCACATTAATAACCAGGATAAATAATGCAGAATTTTTATTACGTATAACATTGCGTTTAAAAATTAACTGAACAAAATTACAAGTGACAAATTTCTTAACACGTGTACAGAGTGCGCAAAACATTTGACCACAAACTTGACTGAACATAATTATATTACCTCCAAACCATAAACTAAAAATGCTCGCCACCAAAGATAAGTACTTTTCAAAATACATTTTATTGTGTACTTCATAAATTATCGACGATTGAACAGGGTCCTCAAATATAATATAAAACAATCCCGTATAATATGGTAAAATATAATCCATTTTTTGTATATAATTCACAGTATAATAATAGCGAAAACAAAATATTTGTAAATCACATTGTCGTTTGCAAATGTTGCCATATTTATTGGCCACGCTGTTATTTCCAAAATATATATTACTTGAGAGTAAATCGTATTTTAAATAATAACTAACATGGTAATTAGTTGTCGACAACATTTTGTCAATAATACATTCCGTAAGACACTGACGATGAGTCGTACCTTCACGGTTACATTTATCTGGTGAATTGACCTTGGCCATATTTCTGACTATAATCTCCCTGTATTTAATGGAAGCAAATTTGAACCTGTTTAAATTCAAAAACACTGATCCACTACGGTAAGGTAAATAAATACGCTCGCCACGTGCGTGTATAGTAATTGTAGCTATGTTTTTAATTAAATGTGTATGGTTATTTAATGAAATATCAATCGCATTTTGGTGACCTTTATTCATTTTATTACTTTTGCTTAAAATGTATTTGTCATCCGATTCATTGCCCCATTGGCTAAATATTGTAATGCACAGCATATCTATATTAATGGACACCCTGTATTTGGATAGTTCAGAGCATAAATATCTTATATCACGCTGATTATTAATATAGCAAGTGATTATTTCTTCAGGGTCCATTATATTTTTGTACTGGAAGTACAGTTAACTTATTAAATTGTTCAAGGTTTGTGTAATTGTTATATACACCACGTTTTAAGACAGTATCCTTTGGGAAACATATAGTAATGGCTGGCAATTGAAACTCAGTCTCCGAGCCGTATATGACATTAGTTGTGGTTTCGTATGAAAAGTATAATAAACTAATTTTATACGTTTGATACACACATCCCATCAAACATATCACGTATGATATTATTTTGTATAATAATATTTTAGTAATTTTAACCATTTTTATAAAAATTATTTTCTTACCATTTTTCATGTAAATATAATTTTGAATAAACCTAATGTTTATGCATTGTTCTCATTAGTGATCAAAAAATTCTAATTTTTGAGTGCCGGTGCCGTACCAGTGCCGCTTTAATTCACGGCCCTTAGTGCCGGTGCCGGTGCCGCCTAAGTGCCGTTAGTGCCGGTGGTGCCGGTGGTGCCGGTAGTTTTTATACGTTTGATACACACATCCCATCAAACATATCACGTATGATATTATTTTGTATAATAATATTTTAGTAATTTTAGCCATTTTTATAAAAATTATTTTCTTACCATTTCTCAAGTAAATATAATTTTGAATAAACCTAATGTTTATACATTGTTCTCATAGAAACAGTACGTATTTATATCGAGAAAATGGCAAAATATTGTAGTAATGTCAATAATTTTTCCAATAAACAACATTTAATTAATTAAACACATATCAATAGCAGAATATGTAAATATTAATGTTATTAATAATACAAATTAGCATATATTAAATTATATTGATTACTAATAATTACTATAATATTAGTCTCATTTAGATATAACTTTGTTACGCATATATGCCAAACACACGGCACCATTCTTTACGCAAAACTTCTAGGTACTTATACTCGACCGGTAATGTATCAGCACCATTTTTGCGCACGGTTATTTGGTGCTCAATAGCCCAATTAATCTTATTGACAAAATCATCCAGCCATCCGCCCATACAAATTTTTACCCGGTGCTCATTGTTTGCAGTAATAGCCCGATGGGTCTTGTACATAATGTTCATCGACTTGGCTATGGCCACTTTAAAACCTGGCAAATGGTGCCCGGAGTTGGCACCGGGAGTATCGGTAAGCGTATCGCGTATGAACTTGGCCATTTTTATAAACGCAATTCGTTTATCGTTTACCCAATCATTGTAAGCCTGCTCGACCTCGGAATGATCTTGTACAGTTTCTAAATTGTGTATAATCAAAAAACCACCTTTGGAGCTTAGTAGGTCAACAAAATCAGCCAGGTCAGTTCTGAAGACGTAGGCAAAATTATCATGCTCGTCGATAACCTGCCGATAGGCATGCGCAAGATGTACGGCACAATCCTTCCAGTCATCGGTGAACGGGCCGGCGAGTGCCTCGTATAGACCATGCTCCTTGAAACAATCAACCAGGTTCAATATTGTATCTATGGTATTATGTTTAACAAGCGGTTTAGTTAATTTATTTATTTGATATTTGTCAATTTAGATTTTAATTTACTTGATTCGCAGCCATGACCATGGCACAAAGTAAATAAACTTATTAAATAAACTATTATTATTTTAACAACTTTAAACATTTTAATGATTATTAATGATATTTTTTAATTGATGTAGTTGCCGTATTTATAAGATATGGATTTGAATTAATTTAAATGTTTTATTTACTCGAAAACTGTCAAATGATATTTAATTTATTGGTATTATTGTATATTCCGTATAAAGTAAATGTGACCATATTTATTCAATACATTTACCGCATATATATAATTGCTGTATAAATTTAGTTATAACTGTCAAGCTAACAATTATTTAAACATAAAGTAATGTAGACAATGAATAGCGAAAATAGTAGTAAAGGTAAATAATTAGAAATTTAATGGTGAACGTCCATGGTTAGTTTATATGACAAATCGGCAAAAATATATGTGCTGATTAGTTCAGCAATTATTTTATATTACTTTGTATATAAGTTTTTGATTAAAACACACAAACTGTAACGGATTTTTAGCCGATTGCAACGAATTACTCAATATTGTTTTTGTGTTGCATCATTACCTCGGTTAAAATATTATATTCTATGTATTTTATCTACCTTATTCTTTTATAGATAATTATTTAACTGAAAAATAGATGCGTAAATATGTTTATCTAATAATAAAGTATTTTTACCCTTTAATTCCATATAGATAATGTAACTTCTAACTTCTAAGAATATAAATTACTTAAACAAAGTGAGATTAATACAGAAATTGTATACTAGGGCAATTTTCATACAGACACAAAACATTCATTACTATTGTAAAGCCTAGTGTCGTAATAAAACCACTTGTATTTATGTATTATGTATGTCGGTATGTAAAGTGCATTGGACATGTGTACTTGCAACAATAATCTTACACACTATACTTACAATTTTTAGTCACGTAAGCATAATACATAAATGGCCAAATATTAATTGTCATGATAAAAATGTAACTCTAATACAGTAGAAGCCGGGTTATCAGTTGGTGCCAAATTAAATGTGTGCTCCCCTATTAAATAATCCAGGATGGTGACACGAATATCATATAAACCGTAAATCAATTAGGGTAAAATATTTTTAGACAACATAAAAATGTTAAACTTATTAATTAATGGTAAAATCGAGAAAATAATCTTTTGTTGATAGGTAATTCTATTTATTTACAACTACATCCAAATTACTTTACCTATAAATAAACATGTTTGACTTTATTATTTAAATGTTGGATAAAATTATTTTATTAACTTATTATTAATTAATATAATAATGCTGCTCAAGTCAACTATAATTGCAGTGTTTATAATTAATATAAAATTAATTTATAGCAAAAAAAATCCTGTTCAATCGGTTACAAATGTAACACATAACAAATTTGTTTTGGTCATGGTGATTATATGAAGTTTATATCATTATTAGTCTTATAGCCTTAAATAAAATTATTAAAAAGTTACTTGCTATGTATTATATATATTTATATAATTATTGTAGATACATATTGTAGATTAATATTTTGTATATGAATATAATTACCGTATTGTACTTTTATATTTAGCTATATATGGCCACAATGTAGTGTCTGAAGAGCTGGTAACCATATACAGTAACCCCGCTTTCCCTGAACGAGACACCCGTCCCAATACATATACACTGCGCATTGTTGTGACCGATCCGGAAGTGTCTCAATTAAAACTAGATTTCACCCATATGGAACTTGGTCAACCAAATGTCGATGGTCATTGTCTGGGCGATACATTGAGCGTGGCTATAGTGGAGGACAACGCGTCAACCTTGTCGGCTGTGCCCACACTATGCGGTCGTAATGATCGACAACACAGTAAGCTGATAAATAAAATTTCTATCTATCTCAAATAAATTATACATGGTGAAATAAGTAATTGTGTAACGCCTTGATCCAAAAATAAAGTTTAAAATCATTTATTATTTATTCTAAAATATATTTAGTTTAAGCTAAATAATGTAATGAATATCTTGTGACGTATTTCATTGTAGTATACGTGGAAATTGCACCTGGTCAAAGTAGTAATATTAAACGTTTTGTAGATGTAGTGATCGACACTATACCTGAGAGTGAATACCGATGGCATATAATAGTCACACAGATTACCCGTTTGTCAAGTCATTTAGCGGCTCCAACCGGTTGCTTACAGGTAATATAAACTAACCTAGTCCTATTAAGATATTGCTAACTAATAATGTGTCATATTTTACAAAAACAAATAGTATTTCACCTTGCCCA